ATCACCAAAGAGGATGTAGGCAATTTGCTGAACCTCTATAAACACTTGTGTCATTTGTGCTTGGTTAATTTCTGTGTGTGTGTGTAAAACTCATCCATCATTGAGTTCTTTGTCTAAAGTCCATCAACAACAAGATCTTAAAAGGGCAGTGAGTTAGTCTTTAATTCACAACAAGTGCTGGACACCATCTTGACCAAATATTGACTCCAACCAAGAACACGGTCCTCCATATTTATATAGCTTTTGCAAGCAGCCCAAATTTTGTCGAACCAAAAGAAAAAGCGTTGAGGCCACCCAGCGTTGTGGATAAAATCCTTCAAATGTGTCCAGCACTGCTATCGCAGGAGAACGAGATTGGCGAGACTGCCTTACACATTGCGGCCAGACATGGGCGGGCTGATATAGTTGAACGTCTTATCGAAACTGCAAAAGCTGGTCGTCGTGAAGACCTTGAGAATGGGCCCTCATCATCAGTAGACGCCAGCTGGCAGAAGCTCATAAGGGAAACCAATAAGGAGAAGGACACAGCCTTGCACTTTGCAGTGCGATTTAATCACTTTCGTGTGGTGGAGATACTGACCAGAGAAGACCCTGACTTTTCCTCCTCTGCTAATGATGCTGGGGAGACTCCACTTTATTTGGCTGCCGAGAGGAAATATGGTGTTTTGTTCTCTCAAATACTTAGCACTTGCACGGATCCAAATTACCAAGGCCCCATTGGAAGAACGGCTTTGCATGCTGCAGCGATTAACGGTGATAAAAGTATATAAACTTACATTTTCTTTTCCTTTTTGATTCACTTTACAATTATACGTTGTTTTTTATTCACTTTCCTTTTTGGTTGGATATTTCTAAAGCTAACTGAATCAAGCCGATGGTGAACCGACCACGGTTAGTAAAACCTATGGACGGGTCACTCCCAAAAGACGTTGGTTCGGTTGTTAGAATGTCTCTCTCGGTTCATCTTGGTTCGGTTGCCTAACCCAGTTTGTATTGATTTTTATTTCGTTTTTTATTTATTTAGAAATGACTGAAAAAATACTAGAGAAGAAAAAGGATTTGGCGATAGCAGCAGATGAACAAGGGTGGACCCCACTTCATTGCGCTGCACTCTCTGGTTGTACTTCAATTGTAAAACAACTACTGCAAGCTCATAGATCCTCTGCCTACATTGTTGACAAAGCTGATAAGAAGACCGCTCTTCACATCGCAGCCTCTAGAGGCCATGTAGGCGTAATGAAAGAACTTATTTCTCATTGTCCTGATTGTTGTGAACTGGTCGACCAAAGACGTCGAAATGCTCGTCATTATGCTTTGGAGAAACATCAATCACGAATCACGACGTTTGTTCTAAAGGATCCATGGCTTAGCAACATCCTCCTAAATGCCAAGGACGTTGACGGCAACACACCCCTCCATCTACTTGATGTTTCTCTCGGGACTCGTTTCATTGGTGATGCTAGAGTTGATAAGATGGCATTCAATAAGGAAAACATGAACGCTCTTGATGTCATTATAGCTGATGATTCAAGAAATGAGGTATGAACTTTTATCTAGATAACTTAATAATCCCTCGTTAAGTGAGAATTTGTGTCGGAGACTCAACTAAAAATTTGCAACTCTACATTGATGGTCTGTGTTGCAGATTATTGGAAGAAGATCTAGTCTATGTTATCTATCATTTATCTAGCTGGTAAGTAGCATGGGTGTGTGCATGGGGTGCTGTCTAACAACTTGAGTACGACTGTCATTCTCACTAATTCAAGGGATTGCTGACCTTGCTTTAGTTGTTAGTCTAGTTGCTGCCCTTGCTTTAGTTGTTAGGCGTAAATCAAGGAAGGAAGATTGTTTTTTTGTTCCTTGTTTTTCTCTTCTTCCCACGCTCATATATATGAGCTATCTTTGTACTTTGTTTCTTCATATAGAAAATACACCTTCAAATTTCAACATGGTATCAGAGCAGTGATCCTAATCGACCTGCTTCTGAATAGTTTCTTGAGAGATTTGTTTTTTATTTCTTTCTGATTCTGTATCATGGCTGAAGAGAGTTCAGTGCATGGCAAAGAAATTAGCTCACATGCTGCGCCATCTTCACTTCATTTAGATGTTGATGTCAACCCAAATCAACGTCTCAGTTCTGTCTTACTAAATGAATTCAATTATCTTCCCTGGGAAAGAGCAGTCACTCTTGCCTTGGGAGGACGATCGAAACTTGGTTATGTTAATGGTGTTATTCCAGCGCCTGATGTGTCCTCATCAGATTACAATGATTGGTTGTGCAAGGACCAGTTGGTCATGTCATGGTTACTCAATTCTATGGATCGAAAGATTGCAGAAATTTTCAGCTATGCTGAATCCTCCTGCATCCTTTGGAAAAATCTCAAAGAAATGTATGGGAATCAGAATAATGCAGCTCGAGTGTTCCAGTTAAAAAAGGATATTGCTGGTCTACAACAGGAAGGAAACTCATTTGTGCAGCACCTTGGGAAGTTAACCACCATGTGGAACGAGTTGAATGTCTATCGGCCACACACCATTTCAGCTGATGTGCTGACCAAGAGAGCTGAGGAAGACAAAATATTTCAACTTCTTGCGAGTTTAAGTCCTGAATACGAAGATCTCAGGAGTCATGTCCTCATGAATCCTGATCTTCCTTCCTTCTCAAGTGTGTGTGCCACGGTTCAAAGGGAAGAAACTCGCAGAAAAATCATGACTGTGGAATTAAAGGCAAATATACCAGAAGCTAGGGTATATCTCTCTAACCACAGAACTAGTGAAGAGAGGGGCTACAAAGGAAAGAAACCTATTGTGAAATGTAGCTACTGTGATACTAGTGGACATACACGTGATCATTGTTGGATTCTTCACCCTGAACTAAGGCCCAAGTTTTCTAGGGACAACAACAAGGGTTTCCCTAAGGGTTCACACAACTCATCCTACAAGGCAAATCATACCGCCACCACACATTCTGAGGGAGCACAAAAGTTCACCTCCAATCCAGCTACCCTGATAAATGAATTTGCTGCCTTCCTCCATAAGAAACAAGGTCATGAAAACAATGAAGGATCAACTAGTCAAGATGACAACAAACAAGCTGCTCTACTTGGACAATTTGCTGGTTTTTTGGCTGAAAATGAAGGTGTGACACAACAAGATATTCCAGGTATCTTACATTCTTTTTCAACTGCTCTCAAAGTAGGTAATGTGCATGATTATTGGATTATAGATTCAGGAGCTACTGATCATATGACTAACAAGTCTACAAATCTGCATAATTTTGAAAAACTCTCATGTCCATCTCAAGTGTCAGTTGCTAATGGCGAGGGTGCTATGGTTGTAGGGAGAGGGAAAACACATTTGATTTCTAGTAATGTCGAGTCTGAGGCTCTTTATGTTCCCTCATTCCCTTTTCAGCTCTTATCTGTTGGAAAAATCACAAACTCATTGAACTGTCTTGTCATTTTTTCCCCAAAAACTGTGGTTTTTCAGGATATCACCACCAAGAAGACGATTGGTGAAGGTTTTTTGTTAAATGGCCTCTACTATCTTTCCAAGCATGTCCAAATTCCCAAGGTCTTCCAAGTCGCTTCAAGCCTGGTTCAAGAACAACAACTTTGGCACCAAAGACTTGCACATCCTTCTGATAAAGTTCTGTCTTTTTTGTTTCCAAACCTGTGCAAAGTTACAAGTTCCTGTGATGTTTGTCACTTCTCTAAGTCCACTAGATTACCTTTCACTTCCTCCTTGTCTAGGGCTAGTAATCCTTTTGAAATCGTGCATTCCGATGTTTGGGGACCAGTCCTTGAGTCCTTTGACGGATACAAATATTTTGTAACTTTTGTGGATGATTTCACAAGGATCACTTGGTTGTATCTTTTGAAATTTAAAAGTGAAGTGCTGGAAGTTTTTCAAGATTTTCATAGACTTGTAAACACACAATTTGCTTCAAATATTCATGTCTTACGATCAGATAATGGCTCTGAATATATGTCACATAACATGTCTCACTATCTAAGCACACATGGTATATTACATCAAACTAGTTGTGTTGGAACACCTCAACAAAACGGGGTAGCAGAAAGGAAGAATAGAGATCTACTTGAAAAAACTAGAGCTCTTATGTTTCACTCGAATGTGCCTAAAAAGTTTTGGTCCCAAGGTGTTCTTATTGCTGCATATCTCATCAATAGATTGCCTAGTAAGATATTGAACTTTAAATCACCTTATGAGATCTTGAAAGATAGACAGATCAATTTATCCCATTTGAGAGTTTTTGGATGTACATGCTTCGTTCACATTCAAGCACCAAATCGTGACAAACTAGATCCAAGGGCTGCCAAATGTGTTTTCCTAGGCTATTCATCCACTCAAAAGGGTTACAAATGCTACAATCCAACAACTAGGAAAATAGTTGTTTCAAGAGATGTGAAGTTTGAAGAAACCATGCCGTACTTTACTCAACCTCTGGACTATTCTAGAGAGGGGGAGAATTTGCTTGATTTATTCCCAATACCATATCCAAGTGAAGAGGATACAACATATATTTCAAGGGACCAGATATTGAATGAGGTTGATTCTCGAAATCTGCAGAATTCTCCACCTGTGGTCCTTGAAGAACCTATCTCATCAGAACCCTCAAGTAGTCCTTCCAACCAAGAAACTGCTCAATTGCCAGCAACTCAATCTCCCACAGTTCGTCGAAATCCTCCCCGTGAGAGGAAACTTCCATCCAAGTTACATGATTATGTAACTTACAATGCCAGGTATCCCTTGACTTCTGCTATTAATTACAGCAAGGTTTCATCCTCCTTTGCTACATTCCTCTGTGCAATTACTAAAACTTATGAACCACAAAGCTTTCAAGAAGCTAATCTACACAGTGAGTGGAGAGCTGCTATGGCAGAAGAGCTTCAAGCTCTTCATGAAAACAACACCTGGACTATAGTGAAACTTCCCAAAGGAAAGAAGGCTGTGGGAAGTCGTTGGGTATACAAGACCAAGTTCCATTCAGATGGCACGATTGAAAGGAACAAGGCTCGTTTGGTTGCTCGAGGATTTACACAAACCTATGGCGTGGATTACAAAGAGACATTTGCTCCCGTGGCAAAGATGAACACTGTGAGGGTGCTGTTATCTGTTGCCATTAACAATGCATGGCCTCTTTTTCAAATGGATGTTAAAAATGCTTTTCTGCATGGTGAGCTTGAAGAAGAAGTTTTCATGAAATTGCCTCCAGGTCATCCTCAATCAAACAATCCAGAAATGGTGTGCAAACTTCATAAATCCATTTATGGTCTCAAGCAAAGTCCACGTGCATGGTATGCCAAGCTCAGTCATGTTCTAGAAAGAGTTGGTTTCTGTCGGAGCAATGCTGATTCTTCCTTATTTGTGCGTTCAAGCACATCGGGTAAACTTGTGGTGCTTATTTACGTTGATGATCTCATTGTGACAGGTGATAATATGTCAGAGATTAGTGCTCTGAAACAATATCTCAATCACAAGTTTGCTATCAAAGATCTCGGCATTCTTAAATATTTTCTAGGGATCGAAATGGCATACTCTCACAAGGGCTGTTTTCTAAATCAGCGCAAGTATGTTATTGATCTCCTTCGTGAGGCCAACATGACAGATTGTAAACCTGCTCGCACACCTTTGAATAGTAACTTGAAGCTGCAATCTCACGGTGATCTCATTCCCAATATAGAGTACTATCAAAGATTGGTCGGCAAACTCATTTATCTCACTATCACTCGCCCTGATATAGCATATGCCGTGAGTCTTATTAGCCAGTTTATGCATGCTCCAAGCATGGACCACATGAAGATTGTTCATCGTGTGCTTCGATATCTGAAGGGCTCCATTGGTAGAGGAATTCTCATGCGCAACAATAATCACACTCATATCTCAGGATATACAGATGCAGATTGGGCGGGGAACGCTCTCGATCGCAAGTCTATCACTGGCTTCTGCACCTTCGTAGGAGGTAACCTAGTTACCTGGAAGAGCAAGAAACAAAGCGTGGTTGCACGCTCTAGTGCAGAAGCAGAATACCGTGCTATGGCTTCGACTGCTTGTGAACTTATTTGGCTCAAAAATCTGTTATTGGACTTGGGGTTTCCTCATCAGCAACCTATGTCTCTCTACTGTGATAATCAAGCTGCGATGCACATAGCATCAAATCCTGTCTTCCATGAGCGAACTAAACACATTGAAGTTGACTGCCACTATGTTCGAAATCAAGTGCAGTCCAAGGTGATTGATACACACTTCATTCGTAGTCATGATCAACTTGCCGATATCTTCACAAAGGGATTGTCGTTTGCTACGTTCCATCACCTCTTGTCCAAGCTTGGATCAATCGACCCGTTTGATCCAGCTTGAGGGGGAGTATTGGAAGAAGATCTAGTCTATGTTATCTATCATTTATCTAGCTGGTAAGTAGCATGGGTGTGTGCATGGGGTGCTGTCTAACAACTTGAGTACGACTGTCATTCTCACTAATTCAAGGGATTGCTGACCTTGCTTTAGTTGTTAGTCTAGTTGCT